CTGTAATATTTTTATGTTATGTACGCATTGCATATGTAATTATTTTCTATGTTTCAACATCATTGTATACATTATTTAATTTCACATGGGGTGAACATAGACGTACGAACATCCGCTTGTGTGATGTACCATCCTAAGCGCGCGAAACGTCAGCTCTATGATTAGTTAACTTTAATCGGTATTAATTTAAAAACTATTATAGCCTCGACATTTTGTCTTATTTTTAATTCAAGAATGTTATTAAAATTTCGATCACGAATTGCGGGACACCCTGTATATATAGTGTTTATGTAGTTTTACATTTGTACATACTTGAGGCATTTCATGCAAACGACCCCAGGAATTTTGTTTTCTCGTTTCTTTAAGATCAGTGAGTATGTCGTAACGAACATCTGCAGGTAATGTTTTAAATTCGTTACCGGTTACGTCAACGTTATGTATGTTCCCCATCCATTTGGATTGTTTTCGTGGACTTAGTTCGACAGGGGAGTCGGAATCGTCTTGATCGTCATCAACATAACTCTGCAAGTTGTTAACGCTAGGCATATCAGGTAGAGCAAACATATCTTCGTTGGAATGTTTGATTTGCGTTATTTGTATCGCTTCACTATTTTGATCCTTGGAATCTTTGTTAAGAACAGTTTTTACAACTCTGTGCTTTATCAAGTTGTTCATCAAATCCGCCTTCATTTTTTGCGCCTTACTCGTGGCAATAGATTTCTGCTTCCTGCGCGAGGCCTGCAAACACAAAAGAATGAGAAGGCTCTTTTCTCACTACCTGGTTCCCACGGTAAACTAATTAAGTACGAACAATATTATAATCAAGATAGAAGAACAGTTTGGTTTGTACATAAATGCATAGTGCAAAAGTTTAAAATTTTATACAATGAAACGTTTACATCAAATACGTTCTTTACATTAAATACATGAGTTAAAGATCATTAATTAATTATTTGTTAATTTGTAATCAGGTGAAAAGGATATAATCTATTGCATATTTACAATTGTATTTTTCTTGAGCATGGGTACTCCTCCATCAAAGACAAAAATGGGCTTAATTTTATAATACAGGAGTTTGCATATCCTAGTGAATAATCCAAGCAAATGAGCATTGGGTCTAGAAACGCCATGACGATCTTGGTATCCTTGCAACACTTGGTACATCCATATCGATATATCTGTAAGAAATACATCGCATCATTATAAAGTTTGTCATTTTATAATCAAAGTATAATTAAATATAATTAAAATTATATTTAAGCTTTTGTGTGATAAGACTTATTACATATATATTGATACTCACCGATTGCCAAGACCTTGCCCTCGAGGCTTTCCAAGGGTACCTGCTTTCCAGATGCTTCGAGCAACTTCCACAAGCCGTATACTCCCATTATGTCATAGATTGCGATGATGGGGAAACATACTGCATACAGATGTGTGTCACACTAACAGATATGTAATGCAAACCAAATTTTCCCGATACATTTTTCTTCCATTATCTAAAAAAATTTAAACTGTTATCACAACTGTATTCAACTATTAACCTAAAAATACGCGGTTAACTCAAATCGAACTCGTACGTATCACGGAACATGATTAATATTATACATGCGAACATGATTAATGTCATCCACAAGAGTTTAGAAATCCACACACACGCGTGAAAGTACGCGTTTAATATTTTAGCGTCTGCAGGCGTCCAGTGGAGTCGACTTAGGTCGGTGAACGGTTCATCACGGTTCATGTAGTTCGCACCGTTCGCACTGTTCGCAATCAGCTGACGCTGACGAAGGAAGCAAAGCAAACAGCAGTCAGCAAACGCTCGTTGTACTCAACTCACGCAGTGGTACTTGATACGCTGGGTATGCAGTCAGCAGTCAGCTACACTTGATTCAACTCAACTCAACTCAACTCAACTCAACTTGACTCGTGGTCCTCGTGGACTCGTTTCGCTGCGGTATCTGCGCTTATTATTGTTTTCGTTTTTGAACTAGAGACGCGAATAATTACTTAAATTTACATAAAAAAATCTCTCTCGATGTTAACGATCGGAGGACGATCGTAATGGCGAGAAAATGCATACGTCGTTTGTATGATGCGCGACGTATGTATTACTATTACATCTATATCATCTATATTACGCGACGCATTCGAGCGTACGTTTTAAAATCAGCTAATTCAAGCTAATTATGCGTCGTTGTTTCGCATCTTATTTATTCCTTAGGGGCAACGATAATAATTAAAATCGCGCAATAATTACAATAGTAGATCGTATCGAGATCACGCTCGCGGTATAATTTCATGCCGGTATCTTCGCGCCTATAGAAAGAAGGAGCGTGGGAATCGGGTTTTGTAAAAACTTGGTTTGCGGCGCGGCGCGCTCGATCGTCTACATCACATCACACGATACGACGTTCGTCGAAACAAGTCAAAAGGAGCAAAAATTGAAAAAAGAATGGTCGCGTCGCGCCCACAATATATATATTGTGCATGCTGCACAAGTCAATTAGGGAGCGCCATTTAACATGATTTAGCGATTTTATTCCTTACGTAGTACATTACACATCTATTTATATACTTTATGCCGCGGCAGTGCGCGGCGTGGCGTTTAACGCGCACGGATATATTTAATTTCTATATAACGGATGAAAACTTCTGTTTGTTTATTATTATAGTTAAATATTATTAATACATACTTGCGTTATTTCGTAATTGTTTACATGTTGACCTATACCAAAGAATATATACAAATATATATATATATATATATACAATAGAGAGAGAGACTTTTTTGTTTCTCGATGGCTCTTTAAATTATCTTCCCCTTCATTTTGCAATTCAGCGGACTGCTATGACAATCAGCCGATCAGGCAGAGAGGAAGAGTCGGAGTCGAGACTCCAGTCGGTGACACGCAACGATACAAATTAAATAGAAAGCAGCTGAAATGACATCAGGCGAATCTACTCGAATGGGAAAGTCGCTTTTATCGCAAGCTGGAAAAATATCGAAAATTATATCAGCAAATCAGCCCGAGAATCAGCCATCAAGTATAAGAGCAAAGAGCCGCGAGAACGATAGGAAATTATACGTAAAGTAGAGTAACAATAATTAGTCGTACGTAAAATGAAAGATTGTGTGCTAGCAAAATGAGCTAGCGCGTATGACGTACAACTTATTGCCGTTTCTTGGAGACACGGCAATAAGTTATACGTAATACGGGAAAACTTGTGCGTACTTACGTCTACAACTTAAGTCTAATTGTAAGTAAGTGTTACGACAATTCTTGTGCTCAGACCTTTATCATATCGTGAAAGCATCAAATTGCCAACAAATGAGGACTCAGTTGCTGCAATTTAACACATACTTAGCAATGCATATTTATAGCAAGCAACATGCCAGCAACAAGACGCAGGCACGTTGCTATCTGGGAAGTTTTCAAAATCTCTCTCTCTATATATATATATATTTTTTTTTTTTTCGTTTAGGTCCATTTTTCGTGACTGAATTATAGTGTAGACTTTTGGAACTTAAAATGACATAGGTATAAAATAAAGTGCAGCTGTCCAATGCAGGAATAAAAAATAGACCTCTAATGTATCTATATCTATTTTTTCTCTTTATACGCAAATATTGCACGTCTCCTGCAGTGTTATTACAATGTTACATATATATATATATATATATGTAATACAGACGTAGGCTCATATAGACACGATATATATATATACATATATATGTATATATACATACATATATATTGTATCGTCATCATCGCAAAAGTGGAG